AGTCGGGCAATTACCTGACTTTCGTATTACCATTTTAGAGCGAGTATGACGTATCTACTTTTAAAAACATCTTAGGTTGGAACGAAGTTCCTTGCGTAGTATATTGTTATTGATAAACGTAGGTTTTATATTACTGATTAACAATAACAAATAAATGAGTTACTAGGGCCTATTAAAATCAAGCGTCATATGAAATAAAATAATATTTCTTTCATGGCAAGATAAGAAAAAGTGCGAGGGAGATGTATATTATTCCATCTCACTTCCTTATTTCATCGCCAAGGCCGTCTACTACTACTATACTATAACTATGAAAAAATCTTACACTTTTTGTCGCCTAGCTCCTATCTGCCAAACCCGTACTGTCCGATAAGGAACTTCGTTCCAAAAACATATACGAAATCATTCAATAAAATTAATATAAAGATATTGCCACCTCGTGTCTCACTACCTGACATAGAAGTAATAGAGCATGGAAAAGTTCGCTGCCCTGGTTGCATATTCGCGGACTTCACATATCACCCGCTGGCGTGAGATTCGTATGAGACAGCTATGGGGAATGCCTTCATAACAATGCCATTTACGACTGACGTCATCGATCACTAATAAATAATAAAAAAACTAGATACACAATCCCATGCAAAAATTCTCTAAAAACTGTCGCCAATTGTTTGACGTAATTCTAGTTGAAATAAATATACATTAATGTAAATTGAACCTTACATGCATTGCCTAAAGTTGTATTCACAAAGCTACATACAAATTAAAAGCGCACCAAACTAGTTTTATTTAAAAAAACTGTTCCCCGCGACCATAGAATTATTACGCATAGAATACTAGTACGCGAACGGAAAGTGAAGCAAGTAAAACTAACTCGAAACCGCGTTAGTTGACTCAGCGACGCGTCAGTGCACAATGTCACGTCTTACGGAGAAGAGCTCGCGTAGAATTGTAAAAATTACCGTTTGTGTTGTAAAATATTGTCACAACAGTGATGATAAACATAAAAGAAGTGATGGTATTACATTTCACATATAAGTTTATACATTTAATTCATTATAAGTACGTAAAACTAAAAAAATACTTACCTAAGCTCTCATAATACAAATGTTGCTAGTTGTGGGGAAAAAATCACAATTTTCTTTTAAAAATATTTATTTTCTATTTGTGTTTAAAACGTTTAATCGCAACGCTCTGTGTAAAACTCAAATATTTATATATAGATACCTACTTCTCTAAGTGTTAACATTATATTAACAATGGGTGCCTATTTAAAACTAATACGGAGTGATCAGCTAATCGCGATTCGTCGACGCCATTTTAACGCAACTATTTTATTTTAATTGCTTTGTTTATTGACTAAGGCTAAGTTTTAGAGTATAGAATAAATACTTTTTTATTTACAACATCAAGAGATTATTAATAAGAACGCATTTACTAACCAGATGTCACTTTACACCCAAAAATTAACCAGATGTTACGTTAGACCCAAACATAGCCTATTTTAACCGACTCCCAAAAAGAAAGGTTATCAATATGGATGTACACTGATTTCTAAGCTTGATCAATTCGTATATACATGATGAAATTTTCGTGGTTGTTGTCCCGCAGCCAAATTATACTGTCTCGATAGTAGAGTCAATTTATTAAATTAAAAACATTACAATTAAAAAAGGGCAGATTTACAATAGTAATACCTCACAAGCTAGTCGGGCGTCCAGACTAGTTTATGTCGTATCACTACGCTTGAGAGTTCATGTTATGAACATTTATTAGTGGCCCTTCACTGTGTAGGAAGCGGTAGCGCGTGCGATAAACGTAACACAACATTACGTCCAGTGAATTTTTATTTCAGATTTTATCATAGTAATTCGGTATAAGCTAGCCTGCACGCCCGACCTACTTGCGAGATATTGCTATTGGTTTGTGATCGTATTCCACTTTTGTTTTTCTCGATTCTGCCATTTTTGCATCCTAATAATTTTTATTTTAATAAATCTATTGTACCACCAAGGCAAAATCATTTTACTTCGGGAAAACAACCATTAAAATTTCAGCGTGTATATTGGATCAATCTGTGTGTATATCCTTTCAAATAAAAAATCTAAATCGGTTTAGAAATTGTAGAATTCTGAGGTAAAAAACATTAAAAAATACACCGAATTGATAACCTCCTCCCTTTTTGAAGTCGGTTAAAATTAAACATTACACGATGTGCTTATTATATTCGAGCAAATTAATTGTGTTTAACAATATTCTTAAATTTTATTACGTCTGCATTTTTGTACCATTAATATATGTATAATAAAGTTATATTAGTACCATCATTATCGTGTTTATTTTATTCCATTTTATATTCTCATAAAATACGTCTTCGTACGTTATACGTAATCTTTATTATATCGATTTTTTTAAATTAATCGAAAAATAGTGATTTGCACAATTTGAATGCAAACGCCAGAAACTGGTATCACTGAATGGCGTGTATGTTTGCGTGTGACGAGCGTAGGCACATTCGACTCGCGCCCACTAACATAATGACTTTGCATCATTTTAACGCGAAAGAGATATGTAAGGATCGTGACACTTGGCGATCTGTTCTCTCTGGCTACCCCGTCAGGGATTGTGCGTGAAGATAAGTAAGTAAGTAAGTGTTTTGTACTAGACTGCGTTTCTATGCGTAATAATTCTATGCCCGCGACGTTGTCCGCGTGTAATTTATTACGATTGGATTTCGTGGGTTTAAGTTTTTTGCGCGGAACCCTAATTCATTTTCTAAAATAGAAGTAGCATAAGTTACATAGCATTAACATCAGCTACGATTACGCAACAGTGAAAGTGCCGTCTAAATCAGTCCAGCCGTTTTGTAGATTAGCCGGAACAAACAAACAGACAGGCAGACAAAAATGTTTAAAAGTGTGTTTTCGTTATTAGTACCGTATATATGCATTAAGTAAAAATGCTGTTACTTTGTCATAAGAAATAGACACTTCAATTTTATTTATTTGTATAGATAGATTACAGTATGTAATACTTATATTATACACTTCAGTATAAACAAGTTTTTTTTTACCTCGTTAAAACGAATCGTGGTCCCACTTAACCTTTATATAACAAACCTCATCATAACGAATTACTTGGTATAACAAATATTTTCTAATATACTTCAGTTTCGTTATATCGAGGTTGCACTGTACACTCATAAACATGATTAGTACATTGATGTTAAAGATTTAAAGAATATAAGTACAGTGAAGTTTCGTCTTATTGGCATATGACAGTTACTACAGCCAAATTTTGTTTCTTAATAGTTATTGTATGATATTATAAAACTATTAGATTAAACTAAATTAAATTGATTATTAAAACACTGCATTTGGGAATAAATAACTTTGCTAAAGTCAGAGAAAAAAAATTTCACAAAATCAAATTAGGAGATATCAATTAATATTAAATTAAATGAATAGTTATTTAAATTAATTGAATAATAAATGCTATGTACATACAATTCTGTTTTTCAAACATCATGTATTATTTGTCTTGCATTAAAATATAAATACTCCCAATATAAACCCATTGAGTGAAGTTTTAAATTGTTAACAGTCATTTTGATTGGTCATGATTATATTATATTACAGTCATAATTGATCTAATGGACAGTAGAATTTTATTATTAACTAGTTCATACCTGTGACTTCATCTTGATATATTAACAAAGTTTCCATATTTGCAAAGGTAAAAACATCTAAAAGATCTCAAGGAAAAATGTACTTTGCTTACAAAATTTATTTGTAAACAATGTTTGTAGCTAAAATATATAAATTATCTGGGTTAATAAAGCGAGAGCAAGCCGACCGTAGCAAGACCGTATGAAAAACCCATAAAAATTGTTGTTTCTTAGAACTTTAATAACTTTATATTAAATTAAAATATCGTAATATTTTTTTTAGATAAGAGCCAAGTGTATAAGAAATAAAACTTAGAAAACCTAATTGAAATCTATCCAGTAGTTTTTCCGTGATGTGTGCACAACTGCAAACCTCTATCATTTTATTTATATAGAAGAAGATAGGTAGGACCATGACTTCCCATGGGAAATGGATGGCAGTGTTGGAAATTTTAAATTTTTGAAGGTAGAGTGAGTAGTAATAGTAGTACTTCACATGAGGCATTAAACCAAACATTTCTTTTAGGCTTTAATAACACTGCTTTTCAGCAGTGTTGCCTCAGAACATTATGCAATATATTAAAATTGATGTGACTTAACTTTGATAAAAGTTTCTTGATATCGGCAACACTGAATTTGTGCAATGCATATGCTATTTAATGTCAACCAGTTGATTAAAAATAATAATGTATTATTTATGTCATATTATTCTATATTGAGCAAATAAAACAAAACAGTACTGATGTCAGCAAAGATTGTCATAAAATAGACAATCTTTATATATATAAAGATTCTTTATTTAATGACTGCCTTACATTTGTTATCACATGAATTTATGATTGTGGTAATATTAGAGTTATTTTTAATTTTATTAAGGATAACAATAGCATATATCACTAAATACAATTTTCAAATTTACTTTAAGTATACCAATTACAGTTATCCACACCTTAAATATAAGGTAAACTAAAAAATAGCAAAACAGCATATTTTAGAGATTAGTAATATGCTTAATAATATAACAGTAATGATATTATTAGTAATTTTTGGTTTACTAACACTTACGATATTTATTTAAAAAACGTTATAGGTCAATCCTATACAGAACATGCAAATATCAGGGCCAAGATCCATCAGGAATGCAAAAGATAGCTATTATGAACTTGTTCATACATAATTCTACACACATTATTATTACTACAACATAATTTTATCAAAGGTGGCCATATGAGATTCAGAGTGATGACACAAACAGTTCTGAAACAGCACAATGTGTGTGGACAGACTTCAAACTATAAGGCTAACTTGGTATTTAAATAAATTAAATACTTACTTGCTGTAAATCATCTGAATCATCTAGATTGCTCATTTCGTCAATATTACTCATATCTTCCAAGTTACTCATATCTGCATCACTGAAGTCATCACCCGACAACCCGTGTCCTTCCGCCTCATTCTCCAGTTGCTCAATAAAACCACTCGCACAGTACGGGCAAGTATAGTCCTGAAATATTAGAGAGAAAAAATGGGCAATTTATTTGTTGTAATTTTTGCAAACTATTAATCAGCAATGCTTCTTACTTTCAGAGAGGTGCAAACTCAAAGTTTTCAGTCTGTTGAGAATAGAGATAACCTAAACAAACAGCAGATTATAAAGATACCTAGATTTTTTTTAAATAAAATCAAATGACAAGCAAACAGTCCAGATAATGGTGTCTACTATAGTGCCTATGGACATCTGCTTTAAGCAAAGGTACAAATGCATTGTCACCACTGCGGATTAAGATTGAAAATCTCACAGCCAGTAATTATATGGGCTTTCTATACCCTTCAAACTGGATAGCAGCAATTGTGCACCACTGCTTGATGGTAAGAGAGTGGTACCTACCCAGATGGTATCCTCGACAGAAATGGCCTACCACATATATCTATATAGGTTTTGTTGGTTTTATTTCCTAAACTATATAGTTCATAGTTTTCTTAATAAATAATGTAATCTAATAAAAAGGTATCATTTTAAAATTTTTAAACAGCACAGTTTGCTATTAAAAGAGTTTTAGCATTCTGAGAGTAAATGCTTAAATAGCCTGTAATAGTGAATTTTAAGAAAATATTTAAGAAATGATGCAATTTTGTGTAATATTTAATAGATTATACAAAATAAAAAATATAGTGTCATGAGAAACAAAATTACTATTTACTACTAAGTATACTATTTTTAACAAAACTAATTGGTTGCACCGACACCGACAATAACGTACACATACAGAGGGAGATTAATTTGTCAGAAGTAGGAATATAGGAAACGTGGAAAACTCAACTCAAGTGACCTTGAAAACTATCTTAAAATCAGCAGCATAAATATTCGTGGTGATAGATTTCAATCTTGAAAATAACAATTAAATATTTATTGATTTTTACCTGCAAAACATCTTCAAATTCAATGTTACACCTATGGCAGAAGAAACGAGCAGTTGGTCTTCGCTCAACTAAAGCGTCAGCCATTCTTGAATTTTAAGGGATTACACTATCGAGTATTCTTCACGGTATAAATGTGCTTGAGGATTGTGCTTTCAAACAATGAACAAAAATTTATCATTCGCCATTTTTTGAGACATGCACAACCCAACTTTTTTCTTAAATCACACAAAGCATAGATAATATATAACATAGAATAAATATTGTATTAAAGTTTAGACTTGGTGTAGACTATCCAAGAGACTATCAATAGTTATAATATATTATACAGGAAAATCTGGCAATATTACCAAACTTTTGTTTTAAAATAAAGATTTATTTTTATCCGTTCTGATTTTGTGACGTTCTAGCTTGCTACATATTTATTAATTTATGGTTCCGACTACACGATGCGTGAATGCTCATAATTATTGTTTTTATTTCTGTAATATACATTTGGTAAATGTTTTTTGCAAATATTTTGAAATAATTCAAAAACAAAAATTACACGATTTGAGTAGCCAATTTCAAAATAACAGGCAAATATATTCCAACAAGTTTCGATGGGAGCTATCCTTAAACTGTGTCTGTTAAATCTGTTCGTTCTGTCCTGTTTCTGTAAGACGGAGTTTACATGCTCATTCTGGCGTTAGTTCAATCCATGATTGATTTCAGAATGACGGGAAACTGACTGTATACGCGTAGGCTGATGGATTAATGGTCCAGAATGATGCTTATTTAAATATTTTAATAGTTCTTGTCAGTCTGGTATGACTGATTACAGACTAAACGTGTGTTTAATAGCTATCGGATGTGTGGGGGATTTCCGTTAAAGTTATTGCGTCTATAATAGATACAATCGCGCCTCATTTAGCTATTATTTTTAATACTAGTATCGAATCTGGTGTGTTTCCTGATTTAATGAAGCATAGTAAAGTAATAACTTTATTTAAATCTGGTAGTACATTAGACCCCGCCAATTTTAGACCTATTTCTGTACTACCAACACTCAGTAAGATTTTTGAAAAAATTGTTCTTGATCAAATGTTAATTTTTTTTAATATAAATAATTTACTTCATAAAAATCAATTTGGTTTCACAAGGGGTCGCTCGACAACTGATGCCGGTGTTGAGCTGATTAAATATATCTTTAATGCATGGGAGAATTCACAGGATGCTTTGGGTATATTTTGTGACCTATCCAAGGCCTTCGATTGTGTTCACCATGAAACTTTAATCAGGAAACTTCAACACTACGGTGTAAGAAGTGATGCTCTTAAATGAATTATTTCATATTTAAGTAAGAGAACGCAAAAAGTTGTTATTAACAATATGAGCTCTTCCGGATCGATGGTACAAATGGGCGTGCCTCAAGGCTCAATTCTCGGCCCCTTTCTGTTTCTTGTATACATTAATGACTTACCTTACATAGTAGGGGATAATCATGATATAGTATTATTTGCAGATGACACTTCTTTAATTTTCAAATTAAGTCGACAATTACCAAAATATGACGAAGTAAATAATGCTATATCTAAATTAGTAAATTGGTTCGATGTTAATAATTTGCATTTAAATGGCACTAAAACGAAATGTATGAAATTCGTGCCTTCAAATGTCAAACAATATATACTATACAATAAATACTAATGTAATTTTAAATGGGGAGAAACTGAGTCTTGTAGATACCACCATTTTTCTTGGAATCACACTAGACGCGAAGCTTCAATGGAGCCCCCATATATCAAAACTAGCAAGCAGACTTAGTTCTGCAGCATATGCTGTAGTTTAATTTAGCTATTTCCATAGCATAATGTCGTATGGTATTTTGCTATGGGGACACGCAGCTGACACTGAAATTTTATTTGTTTTACAGAAGAGAGCCATAAGAGCAATTTATGATTTAAAGCCAAAAGAGTCGCTGCGACAAAAATTTAAGGAAATTAATATATTAACTTTGGCCTCTCAATACATTTATGAAAATGTAATGTACGTACACAAAAATAAAAGTAGTTTTACAAAAATAAGTGATATTCATTCTGTAAATACTAGGAACAGACACAAGCTAGTAGTATCAGTTACTCGACTCCATCGAGTCAGTAATTCATTCTTGGGGCGATGTATACGCTTTTACAACAAAATTCAAGAAAATATACAAAGTTTGACCTGCTCAAAGTTCAAAAACTTTATTAAACTAAGTTTGTATAAAAAGGATTATTATAATATTAAGGAATTTATGGATGATAATGGGAATGAGGTGAATGAGGTGTTTGCTACCAAGCTATTTCTAATTTGTTGTGTTGTTAATTGTGTAACATACATTATTGTAAGCTGTTATTTAAAAAAAGTCCCGCTGGGTTTCTTGCTGGTTCTTCCCAGAACAGAGTTTTTTTTTTCAAATCAGTGGTAGTTAAACAAAAGAGTGACTTTGAATAAGTACTTATATATTTATAATTTATATTGAATAAAAAGTTTCTGTTTCTAGGTATCAATGTATTAGACAGGGTTACAATATTGCTGGGAACGCTATACGCGCGAAATATTAAAGTAGGTGTACACAGTGCGTACACTGTATATGATTGACCGAGACTGCTCGGTTTCACGCAACAATATAATGCCGCATAAAACGTAAAAAAAAATAAAAAGGGTTATTATAATATTAAGGAATTTATGGATGATAATAACCCCTGGAAATGAGGTGATCGCTACCAAGCTATTTCTAATTTGTTGTGTTGTTAATTTGTGTAAGATCATGATTGTAAGCTGTTATTTAAAAAAAGTCCCGCTGGGTTTCTTGCTGGTTCTTCCCAGGACAGAGGTTTTTCCGAACCAGTGGTAATCAAACAAAAGAGTGACTTTCAATAAGTATTATTTATAATCTATATTGAATAAAAAAGTTTCTGTTTCTGTTTCTATCAGATCAGTCTGATGTTAGTCACCGCCGATGGAGTCACACGCCGTGTCACCGCGTACGCGACGTTCCCTTGTCAATCATTAGCCCTAGAGAAAGAATTTATTCCAACTTTTTTTTGAACGTTACCCCTACACTACGATTTTCTCTTGTACCGTAGAGGCATTTTAGAAACATAAAATGCACATGGACAAACATCCAGAACCGGAACAATTATTTGTAGGCCATACAAATACTTGTTCCGTGCGGGATTCGATCCCGAGGCCCCCAGCGCTGCAACTTATTGCTAAATCACTGCGCCACGGAGCCGTCACTTTAGAAGTTTTACCTATTCTTTGTGATAAAACGAATAACCAACATGTGAATAGATATAAGAGAAACAAGAGACTGCAGAAACTATTACTAATTTTGAAATAAATAAAACCCTAGCTAATGTAGAAGATGTTAAAAGGAAAATTAATGCCCTAAGATCCCGCTATCGCCGTGAATTCTTTAATTTTTCTTGATAAAATGTATACCTAATGCGTATGCGTATTATCGCGTAGAAGTATTCGGTTGGACTTCCTAGGACAGTTACTCTTTGGGTTGGACTGGTCGTCAGTCTGACTTATACCACCCGTCAATCCGTCATTCTGCCATTATACTACACCTGATCAAGGTCACAGACTGAACTGATCTGAACTTAACGTGCCACCTCCGTATAACTGTTGCCGCGGTTGGTAACAATCGACATCGATACACTTATATTTTTGACCATCAATCCATCAGTCTACGCGTAAACAGTCAGTTTTCCGTCATTCTGACATCCATCATAGACTGAACTGACGCCAGAATGAGCGTGTAACCTCCGTCTAATACCTCCCGTCAATCCATCATTCTGCCATTATACTACACGTGATCAAGGTCACAGACTGAACTGACCTGAACTTAACGTGTCACCTCCGTATAACTGTTGCCGCGGCTGGTAACAATCGACATCGATATAGTTATATTTTGTTTATTTCTTTTTACTTTCTTTTATATCTAGAAATATAAAGTAAATAGGACAAGTCTCATTATTATTCGAGCGATTAAGTGTATTGATTTCAAAATCAAGGAATGGTGATTATATTATATTAAGTTGCAAATGTAACGGAAAAGGAATGGAAAACTTAGATGAAATTATTTCAAAATAATTAAATGAAAGCAGTATTTTATCTATATTGTCAATATACGACACTGGCTATTTTACCATAGACTTAGGATATACGTATAGACCAACATAGTGTGCAAGAGAGAAGAAAATTCCTTATGGCAAAAATGCAAGATAGAAAAGGATACCAAATCTCATGACTCTGTAACCGATTTTGAATGGCAGGTCGGCGCAAGTCGGCGCTCAAGAAATAAGCTTGTAGATATTTTGTGTGTTTTTAGTTTATAATAGTGTTAATTTGTATAATTTATAGTTTTCCAAAATGGTTTCATGTTCCGTTAGTGATTGTGGTATCAATAATAGAAGTAATCCTGATGGTTGCACATTTTACAGGTAAATTCGCAAGACGTCGTCAATAATAAGACACGTGTATGTAATATTTTCAATTATTTTATTAATTTTGATATTTTGCAAAGAAAAAAGTCACATTGTTGATAATTTGTATTATTTTGGTGAATTCATTTTTAAACAAAATATTTTACATTTACGCTAGGGATTGAACTACAAACTATACCAAAATTGATGTCGATATTTATCTTTAATGTGTATAAAGAATCGATAGACTTTTATACACAACAAAAAGAAGAATGAAATTAAATGCTCGATTTGCGTTCTAAAAACAAAATTTTATTTTGCCGTTTGTCAAACAGATTCCCTCTGGATCCTTTAGTTAGTTAGAAAATGGTTGGCATTAATTGGGCGGGTTGGTTGGAATCCTAAGAACTCTACAATTTTGAAAATTTGAGGTATGTAAGGATCGTGACACTTGGCGATCTGTTCTCTCTGGCTACCCCGTCAGGGATTGTGCGTGAAGATAAGTAAGAAAATCTACAATTTTATTGAGAAATATATAAGAAAAAGCAGAGTAAATATAATTTTATTAAAAGGAGCCAATCCTACATTATTTGTACCAGTAAGTATATTATTGTTACAATAAGACTTCTT